CTTCTTCTTTGTACCCGTTTTGATTTAAATGAGAAAATAAAAATCCTGCGCCTGCAAAGGCGACCGCATTAAAAAGTCCACCGGCTACTAGATTCGTTGTCATTTATTTACCGATTGTTTTGGGAACGTAACCTTTGTCTTTGAGATAAGCGACGGCAACGGAACTTCCCGCCACGGCCACACCGAGTTTCATCGCACCTTCTAACGTCATCGGTGCACCCAAACTTTTTCCGGCGATCGTTTTCGCCGCGTACGAAATTCCAACGACACCGGTCGTTAGAAGCGCCGCATCGTATAAATCCTGAACGAGTTCTTTCTTAGTTCAGACATTCTTTTATTTCTTGGGCGAAAGAAATAAAAAATTTTCTTTATCGTTCTTTTAAAATTTTATTTTCGACCCGAAGTCGTTCGTTCTTGTCTTCGAGTTCGTCCATTTCATTTTCCAGGGATGTTACTTCGTTTCTAAGTCCCGTTAAATACGTTATGACAAACGTACCTCCGCCAGCGATAAGACCCGTCGACATCGCACTTTTTCCTGGAATCCATAAACTCGTCATCACATCCTGGATATATGAAACACTTAAAACACTTGCGGTCAGTAAGGTAATACCAAACAAATTCAGATCATCCATTCTCTCTTTTATTTATTAAGTGAAAAATTTTTTTTTTTTTTTTTTTATTGTTCTTTAAGTTTTTTTTATTTTCAATCTAGAGTTTTTCGTTCTCGTCTTCGAGTTCGTCTATTTCAGCTAGTAGGTATAATACCTTTTCTCTGAGTTCAGTAATTTCTTTTCCCTGATCGCAAACTTGAGATTCTTTTCTTTCCAGATCTTTTCTGGTCTGTCTAATATTTTCCTGCGCGGCTAATCCACCTTTCCTTCCACGTAAAACTGCTTTCGGATCTTTTACAATATTACTTTTATGTCTTAGTTTGGTACGTCCTTCTTTCCGTTCTTTCTCGGAAAGTTGACGTAATTTTTCATCCTTAACGTTATCGATAGCTTCCATAACACCGGGTAGTGCATACCTTCCCGTTTTCCGAATGGATGGAAGAACATCGCTTACAACCCACCATCTGAATTCCTTAGCGGCGGGTAATTTTGAACCAAATACAAGATCGTAAATACCAGATTCGGTGATAAATATCGTATCAGGATGCATTGTGGGAAGGTGGGCGTTTCGCCCACCTTCTACATTTTCATATCTAACTCTCGATCTTTCGTCTGTATCTGTTGTAACGGCTTTGGATGTATCCTTGTATCCGAGTGCAAGTGCTACGTCCTTTGCCATAAAATATACTTCGCTACAATCGTCTGGAATAAGCGTTCTGATCTTATTGTTTCCGATAATCGCTGAATTTTCTAAAATTTCTAACCTCATTCTTTATTAGCATACAAGATTTATTATAAATAGATTAATTTCTATTTGTGTCAGTCCGTACACCACCGGGTAAATTCATTCCGTCGTGAATATAGACTTTAGCGTTTTGTAACCGTATCCCTTGTCTCCTAATCAAACAAGTCGACGATCGGTTCTTTCGGCGGATCTTTTTCCACATCGTTGTTGTTCTCGTCTACAATCTCATCATCCTCCTGTTTCGCAGGATTTTTCTCGTCACAACGACCTTGCCACGTCAGATACAACGATCCCAACCCGATTCCTACCCCTAAAACCAAACATAATCTTTCGACGGAAATCCATCCACCTTTATTCGTACATTCCCCGCGAACTTCCGCTTTTAAATTTTCCTCGGCTTTTGCTTTTTTCGCAGCTTTGGCCTGCTGACTTATTTTGGCCAATCTTTTTCCCGCTTCGACTCGGCGTGGATCCTTGATTTTTTTCGATGGATCTGTGGGTTTGGTCACCGGAACAGATTCTGGATTTACTTCGGTCATTTTCTTTATTGTATGAAAATACTTTTATTTTGTTTAACTTTGTTTAAAATTTACCTGGAAGGAACTGTAGGACGGACTTGAAATTTACTTGAATTTTACTCGTAAGATTCTTAAAGTCAGTCTTTAATTCTGTTGGGATTGTTACTAAGACTTACTTGTAAGATCTTTCAAGTCAATCTTTGATTTTTCCGAAAGTTCTTACCAAGACTTACTCGTAAGAAATTTGAGAACTGTCTTGAATTTTGTTGGAAGTTACTACCAAGACTGACTTGTAAGGTTTTACAGAAAACACTAAGATATACTACAGTTTCCTTCCGATGCTTTTTGTGTGACTCTCTCGCGTGCAAAATTCACAAACCTGAAGTTTTCTTTTCTTTTCGATAGGTACTTTTTCTTTCACCGGTTCCTCCGACTTTCTCAGTTCTTCCAGTTCCTGGACAGAAGGAAATTCACAAAATCCGTTATATTCCAAGTCGATCTTTGGTAACGTACGTTCTTTTTCGGGAATGTCTTTATGACTTGTGCTAACGTATGAACCTTATCGTCTAAAATATCCCGCTAGTCGTCTTTGGCCGAAAGTGCCGTTTTTACCAAACGTTCGGTATAAATGTTATGATAATGACTACGAAGTGTCGTCATTCCTACGCATCTTTCTATTTCACCGAATAAAACATCTTTATAATGTTGATGCGTCAGATCTTTTTTCACAACACATTTTTTAACTCCCTTGCATTTTTTTATCACTTTTCCATCCTCGTCGAGTGTCGAATATGATTTCGGACGTATTTCATCATACCGATGACTTTCTTATTCATCCCACACGGAATTCCAGACGGATGAGATTTCGGAAAATTACTCGTATCAAATTTCTGACGAACGTCCGATGCAATGTCTTTGAAAAGATCGTCGGTCGTTATCTCGTAATGAAGCGAATCCGTATCTGTGAAAAGAAGTTCTGCTTTTTCCCCGTATTTTTTCTTCACGTAATTATAATGAAAGTCGTACATCAACGTCTTGCTGATATCCAGGATGGCGACACCTACGCAAATAGGTTTATCCAAACGAACGGTCGTTCTTCGCATGTGAACCAACGCCAAGTGCTCGGTATATATGTCTGTCGAGACGTAATAACTTTTTTTCACTAATTTATTCCACTTTTTTTCACCGTTAACGAGCTTCACGTTGATACGATCGCGAACATTTTCCATCGTCTTTCCAAACACCGAATTGTTCATCAGTTTGAAAAAATTACTTTCGAAATCGGACTTGGCTTTTTTACGCAAGTCGGTATTCAACCGAATATATTCTGCCATCTATGCCCTTTCCGAAAACATCAGACCGCGATGAACTTTTGTCACGATCAATCCTAATTCTATGTATTTTTTTAACGTCGTATGATGAACGATATACTTTTTCTTATCGTTTAATTTCGGAACGAGTTTATCGACTTTTCCTATTCGAAGACGTTCCGGTGCCAACGGATAGTCGCTGTGCAAATCATGTAATTCTTTCGGATATTTTAAATCCACTTCGACGTAACAACCTTTTCCATCCGGAAGATTTTTCCAATTTTTCAACCGATCTAAATCCATCCATTCAAAATTCCCATACGGAAGTTTTTCACACATGGCCCAACCGTATAGATTGTTTGCATCCCAGTAAGGTAAAAATGTACTTTTCTCTTTCGGATTAAAATTTTTCACATACTTATTATTGGCAACGGCATATCTCTTACTGATCATACAGATTCCACCACGTTTTGCCTTTTCGATAAAATTAAACATGATCGGATCGGAAATTAAATCCAGACGGATACGCGTCATTTTCAGACATGCATCCCATGCCAATCCAGGCGACGTATAATACCATGCAGGATCCAATTCGTAATTCTCCATGCAGATCTCGCGAAATCTTTCCATGATGTCTGCCAATAATAACACGTCTACTTTTAGATAGAGATCGTGATAATCGTGCATGGTTTTCATATCGAACGACTTCCATACTTTTTTCGCATGTTCGTAATCTTTGTCCGTAATATCTTCGTCTGTCAAACTACTGTAAAATTCTTTTTGTGGTGGAAGAGACGGTTCGGAAAATTTTACGAAATCATTCATCCATTCGTACGGATAAACACCTTTCCGTTTTAACATTCGACGTTGATCCGACGTATAACTTCTCATCATTTCATCCGTTAATTTAAAGTGTTCCCTTCCAAATCTTCCGCAAGAGTTCCTAACGAAGACGACAAGAATTTGAACGAATCTAAAAACCGCAAGTCGTGGAATTTAGTTTTCGTCTCACCTTTTTTATCCGTAAATGTATCGACCGCTACTTTTTTCGTAAATGAAATATACTTTTCCGATGTCTGTGCGATACAATTAACATCACCTTCACTTCCACCAAAACATTTGACGACGTGATGAGCATCGTAACCTGCCAGATTATGAAAAAAGACCGGTGTGAATCTTGGATTCTTCATCGTTAAATTACATCGGTTACATGCCGCGCCGCGATACGTACCCGTGTAATGACAATGATCTTTTGTCTTGTGATTGTCTTCAGTAAACCTTCCGTTACATGTGTAACACGACTCGGATGTTTTAAAATCCTCGTCGTCATCCGGTTTCATTTTAATCGGAACAGGAGTCTTAAATCTTTCGTAAATTTCTTTCGTATCCTTTTCCAACAACTCGTAAAATTTTACCATCACGTCTTCGTCTTCGTGTTGTTGTGTGTAACTTACATATTTCGGTGGATAAATCTCGTCGTCGAAACATTTGATCAGATATGCAAAACTACACTCTTTAAGTTCCTGTGTTCTTTTCGTACTGGAATAATCCAGACTTTCTTTCGTGTCGTAAGAAAGTGGTTCCAGGAAAGATTCCGTGTCCGCATACACTACAAACAGAACGTTGTGAATCCGGTTATAATTTTTAAATTTTAGGATGCTATCCTTTCCCTCCTTATCCTTATTCGGATATATACATGTTTGCGCTTCGTGATCCGAACACAACTCTCGATGTTTTTCCAATAATTTTTCAGGTCCAAAAGGATTCAAACAATTGTTACAGATGTGTTTCTTATGCTGTTTTTTACTCAACTGCTTTCCTAAAAATTTTGACAAATCCGTGACGACACCGAAATGTTCGTTCCTTAATACTAAGTTGATCGAATCCAGACTTCCCGAAATATACCACGGATAAATTTTTAAATCCTCGTCGAATGCAAAAACATTAATGTGAACATCGGGATTTTGTTTTTCAAACTTTATTACATCCTTTTTCCCAGTCGGAAATTTTATACCATTCCAATTTAATTTCTCCGTCTGAAGACGAAGAATTTTTGTAATGCGAGCGGGATTTCTTTCTACCGGATTCAATGCACGCGTCACTGCCCATTTGAAACATTCGTTGTCGGTATTTTGCATGTTGATGATTCCCTTGCTTTTCGTATATCCTTTCGGCATTTCAACAAATCCAGAACCCCGGGCCGGATCGTATTCGTCGATGTGAATCTTCAACCGAACTATCTTATCCAACATCCAATCACTACCGTTTCGTTGATATTTTGCCAAAGATTCCAAAATCTTTTCACGCATCTCTTCCCAAATTTCATCCCTTAAACTTTGTCCCGTAATTCCATAAGTTCTTGAATAAAAACCGGACCTATCTGTCTCCACAGTATCTCCAGTGTTTTTATCCACTTTTTTCATATCACAGACTAAACGTACCCATACTTTTTTTGATCTGTCGATCGAATCTACGAGATTGCAAACGTGACGACCGGTCATATCTAAAAAATAAGGTGGATCGTATATCTTATTCGGTGTGATCGTATACACCTGGGCACGTCTTCGAAATGCATGTTGTTGTAAAACGGGTTCAAAATCTTCGCCTCGAATTATCATCTCGCCCGACATTAATTTACGATAACGAACTTCCGCATATTTTTGACGCGCCCTTTCATTTTTACGAAGTCTTTGTGTTTCCTTCTTCCATTTCCGAGCTTCGGATTTCCAATGAGATACTTCCTTACGAAGTCTTTTTTCCTCTTTCTCGGTATGTCTTTCCCATTTTTTCTCGTCGCTTAGTTTCTGTGCCGTCGCTCTTTTGGTCGGTTTCCATCGCTTCTCTTCCTTTCTACGTTGTTTTCGACGATCCTCAAATTCTTTCGCTGTAGATTTAATACTTTTTCTAAAATTCTGTTGTTCTTGTACAACAGGAGGAGGATCGTTCATTTCCTCGCGAACCGATCGAATATTTTCAACTCGCGGTCGATCGTAGAAATCCAGATCGTTACTTGCCATTTTTATATTATACTTACACATTCATATAAATAAAAAAATTTTCAATACTTCAAACAAGTATGGAAAAAACTCAAACATCCGTGTAACCGAGCAGGCGTGATAATTTTCTAAACACGATCGTTTCCACTCCTGGAAGAATGGGACGATCCGATTCTTTCATTTTTACCAATCTTTTCAGAAAGGATTCCTCGTATGAAATAAGGTGAGAAAAATCTCCCTGCACTCCGATAAAATCCACGTAGTGGAATTTTACGTCGTGTGATATCGGTCTCGTACCTCCTAGGATGTGGAGAACCATATGATGAAAAGTCGGAGTCGTTGCTTTTCTTACTAATGTAAATCCTTCCTTTTTCATTCCTTTTATGATCTGGCATACAATCTTCATCTTTTATTATCGTATAGATTTTCTTATAAATAGCTTACGAATTACTGGGATGTAGATTTAATACTTTTTCTAAAATTCTGTTGTTCTTGTACAACAGGAGGAGGATCGTTCATTTCCTCGCGAACCGATCGAATATTTTCAACTCGCGGTCGATCGTAGAAATCCAGATCGTTACTTGCCATTTTTATATTATACTTACACATTCATATAAATAAAAAAATTTTCAATACTTCAAACAAGTATGGAAAAAACTCAAACATCCGTGTAACCGAGCAGGCGTGATAATTTTCTAAACACGATCGTTTCCACTCCTGGAAGAATGGGACGATCCGATTCTTTCATTTTTACCAATCTTTTCAGAAAGGATTCCTCGTATGAAATAAGGTGAGAAAAATCTCCCTGCACTCCGATAAAATCCACGTAGTGGAATTTTACGTCGTGTGATATCGGTCTCGTACCTCCTAGGATGTGGAGAACCATATGATGAAAAGTCGGAGTCGTTGCTTTTCTTACTAATGTAAATCCTTCCTTTTTCATTCCTTTTATGATCTGGCATACAATCTTTATCCTCCCGCGGATAAAAAGACTCGTCATGATTCCTTTATCTGTTGGTGTTGTATAATACCCAATATTAGAACCCATCAGTTTTTGAACCAATTCGTTCCTTGACATTTTATTGTGTGTGTTTTTATTTACATGAATACTCGCAAATTCTCTCGATTTTTTTTCAATACTCCGAACGACTATTGAAAAAATGGCAGGTAGTAACTCTGGTTCCGGATTTCTACGATCTTTTTCTTTATACTTTTTTTTTATTTATATAAGGTGTTGATGGTTTTTTTAAAAAAAAAAAATTTTCCAAGAATGAATCTTGGGAAAAAAAAAAAAAATTCCCGGGGAATGGATTTATGGAAACTATTTTCTAAAACTTGGGAATGAATCTTGAAAAAAAATCCTGGGATGAATTTCCGGAAAATCTTAAAAAAATTATGGGGACGATTTTTCTAGAAATCTCGGGAAAAAGTCCTAGGGATGAAATCCCGAAATCCTGGAGAAAAAATCCTGGGGACGAAATCCCGAAATCCTGGAAAAAAATCCTGGGGACGAAATCTAGGGATGGGGACTAAAAGCCCAAGGGGTTAAGGGATGAAGGGATGAAGGGCTGAAGGGCTGAAGACACTATAATTTGTATAACATGAAGTTTGTGCTCAGATCGGCTTTTTGACACTACTTCCCGCCCATTGGCATCAAATTTCAATGCTTCTATTCAAGAAGGAAACATCCCGTTGTTGTGGAAATCCGCCAATGTGTCTCCTGTGCCAAAATCGTCGCCTGCCCTGGATATTGATTCCGATTTTAGACCGATCTCTCTTACGCCAATTGTAAGCAAGATCTTAGAGTCATTCCCTCATAGCTGGCTTTTACGGTCAGTTAGCGGTCAAATTGATAACCTCCAATTTGGTGCTCTTAAAAGATCAAGTTCCACAATGGCATTATTATGTATGTTCCATGAATGGTACGAAGCCATGGACATACCCGGCACCTGTCTTCGAATCTGTACGTTGGACTTCTCAAAAGCATTTGACCGGATTGTCTTCAACATCTTACTTAAAAAAATGATAAATATGGGCATACATCCTGTCCTTATTAATTGGATCGCCAACTTTCTCACAGACAGAAGACAGCGTACAAGAATCGGCCCGAATTATTCTTGTTGGAGGCCAATCAATGGTGGTGTCCCACAGGGAACCAAACTTGGCCCCTTGCTCTTTTTAATTATGGTAAACGACCTGAAGATCTCTGACGATTCTGTTAAATTCGTAGACGACACTACTTTATGGGAAATAATTACGAGCGCCCAATCGTCTGCTTCAGTCTTACCGGCACAAATTAGTGAATGCTCCAGTTGGGTGGCCAAAAACAATATGAAATTGAATCTCACTAAAACCAAGGAAATTCGAGTATGTTTTTCGACTTATGATACCGAAGCACTTCCTCCACTTACCATTGATGGCTGTAACATTTCTGTCGTGTCACATGCTAAATTACTCGGATTAATCATCTCCGAAGACCTCAAGTGGGTTCTTCATGTTGATTTCATTTGTAAGAAAGCTGCGAAGCGTCTGCATGCTCTAGGATTATTAAAGAGATCTTCCATTCCATCAAGCAAGTTAGTGCGAGTGTTTAATACATGCATTAGACCAATTTTGGAATACTCGTGCGAAGTATGGCATCACAGTTTGCCCCAGTATTTAAGTGATCAGATCGAAAGGATCCAACGCAGAGCTCTACGAATAATCTTCCAAGATTGTTGTTATGATATTGCAATGGACCGCGCCGGTGTGGTGTCATTATTCATAC